ATTTAATAATTGTAACTCATTCCATTTGTATAAATTTACTTATCACTGTTTATTTTTTAAACATACCTATTATTCTTTAATTTAGTATGAAAATATGTAAAATTAAAATTCTGCCCATACAAAAACTTATTAAAATTACCATGAATAATGTGTAATTATATCAAACCGTTACCAGATTGTTTACACAAATTTATAAATATTCAGTATGACTAATACATAAATTTATTGGTATAATACATTATTTTTAGAAACAGTGATTAATGAAGAATGTAATCGTATCACTTAATATCCGGGATAAGTTTTTTACATTGGGATTAGTTGAGTTGTCTTCAATGAGTTTTTCATTTATTAAACAACACATCGTGTTATTAACTATAAACTTAAATTTATTGTGTAATAATTAGTCATTCATTCATTAATGTCCATTAAATACACTGAAATTCTACTATTAATAATGTATTTTAAGATCTACGCTGTACTGTTTAATTACCTTTTACACATCATTACTCATCCACCATCATCCCCATTCCACTTCCCACGGTCTATCAAAAATATAATTAAACCTCAAACTCGTCCTGACATCCGTCTATGAACTAAATATTAAATATAAATTATATTTGTCTTTAACGCCAAATGAAAGNCTGACATCCGTCTATGAACTAAATATTAAATATAAATTATATTTGTCTATAACGCCAAATGAAAGAATATGGTTTAATTTTTTTAGGTTTTGATCCTCTGTAATTTATTACCAAAAAAAAGAATTGATATGTTTCATTTTTTTGTTCGTTTACATTTTTGATACTTTGCATTCAGCAAAAACCGGCTCAACTAGGGTAACAGATGGTATCAATGTATACAATAATGTTTTTAAGAATAAAATGTGCATATTCTCTTCATTGCATGCGTGGAAAAACGAATAATTAAACCGAAAATCACATATGACCAATGTAAAAATACACAAAATTTAATTTAATATGCTGAATTGTAACATTATGTCTCACTCAAAGAGCCCACAATACTTATGGTTTCCAAAAAAATAATTCAAGACATAAATATGGATGCGCTTAAAAAAAATTATACAGGTTATTCGAGCAATAAAATTCTTTGTACTTTTTAACTTATACAACGTACAAAGACACTCTTTCCGACTTTGGACACTAATATCATAAATTTCAAATATATCATACTTAAAAATATTATAATATAAACATAAAAAACTTAAATAAGTTATTTGTCGTGATTCCTAATTTTTATTATGGTGCAATTTATATTAGAAAACTACTTGTGTTTCTATGAAATTTGTTGAGCTATTGTTTTATGGATTACATTTATCGTAAACAAATGGTTTCTCGGAAGAAATGATTTGCTTTCACAGTAATACAATTCGATAAGATCAAAATGCATTTCTAATAGAATTATTTTCTCCGACAAAAATACATAAAACCAACAATTTTTATTACTCAAAACGGTTACAAATGGCGTATTAAAATGTTTTCGTTTAATTCAGTTGAAACGAAAATCAGTAAAAACCATTAGAACAATCGAACTGGCGGTTAATTAAGGCATGGGGTTTGCGTAGACGTCGGCGAGGTGCTCACGAACTGCGGAGGAAATAATATAAAATACCGAATTATCTGAACGTACCATCTTCGGGCGGAGAAGTTAAAAAGTTGTAAAATTCGTGACAATTCCACCGTATTCGGTGGTTCGATTTACATCTGCGCGCATTCAATTATTATTGTTGTTGTATTTTATGCACAGACAATAATAATTATTTGCAACACGACACCATATTATTATAATATGTGTATCACGAGCAACCTGGACGCAACAGGTCCTCTGGTGTACTGATGGAGATCTATACTCGTAACAGACATTGGTAAATATTTGCTTGCTAACGCGAAACCGTCGGATAATTGGTGTTAGGCATTTCGATTGGACTGGGTCGTAAATTAGATCACGATCTTTGCCGGACATTCCTTTAAGGTCCCGCGTGTGAGAATAGAATAAAAAACGATGGCGTAAACAATGCGTGTTGGGATCGAAACCAATAATCATAACCAAACGTCTATAATCACTAGAATCCCAACCGGCCCCTACACACAACAGCTTCTCGTGCGCAAAACAAGCCCTCCCCTTTATCCCTCGCCAGCGAGTTCACTTCAACGTTCGATTTGTCGCATTGTCATTAACAACGATGACACGTCGGACGACCACTCGGCTCGTTCTTTACGACAAACATGTCTCCGACAATTATTACATCCGTTCTGTTCTCATAAGTTATTAATGAAGTGCCTACTTGTCTGCCGATACCCAAAAGAAAACTCTTTGCCAGCCGCCGGCTGATAATTAATCATAATTCGAACGCTGTTGTACCTTTTTGTTACTCTCTCAGCAATCTAATCGGTTTATAATAACAACACATCTTGGCCTTTTCTTGTTAATGATGGATGACGATCGGCGGCAGAGACGACGTAATCGATTCGAAAAACGCTTTTTAAAGAAAACCTATCCTGTCATTACACTCGGCGGAAGAGTACAATGAGCTTAGTCTGGTGACTGACCGACCGAGTTGATGAAAATCATTATCGATTGCCACTGGTTTTCGCGACCATATCGTTTGTGATGAATGGTCCTGGCAAACTGGTTTTACTCGATTACATTTCACGCAGTCGCCTCTGTCGCAATACCGTCATATTATTTTAATTCGTTTATGGGCGCAGGATTTATTATAATAACCCGTCACAACCCTCTTTAGATTAATCGCCGGGTAAAACAAAGTTTATGCATCAACATAATACCTACTTATTTAATATACGGCTACCGGTTACGATGTTTGAAGCGAATAAAATAACATTGGCACCGTCTTGGGCAGTTTCTGTGTTCTTTTTATTTCGATACAATTTTATTTTTATAGCTTTACAAGTTATTGGCTATTTATCAGAGTTGTACCTAAACAACTGCAATTAATTGTAATACTACACGAATGCTACATTAATAAAATATTATCTATATAAATAATTGTCATAAACAAGCCATTCACAAAAAAAAACTCGATCTATAATTTAACCAAAATTATAAGAGTGTTCGATAAGCAAACGATGTTAACAGCGATTATCTGTACTTAAAATGTGTTTACTAAATAATACTCTTTAAAGCCAGTTTATTCTACTGTTAGCACTTGCATTTGTTACAAAACATTGAAAAAACAAGTTGAACATCTCCTATTCTAGTTTTCTATAGCATTAGAAAATATTTTACACATTCTTCTCTTTACTAAAATACACTAATTAGTAATTATTATTTATTTGTATGCTAATTGTGATACGTTTTTAGAATGTATTTCAGAGATAAATTTCCAACGTACAGTACATATTAAATTATTACTGAAATTTATTTTTATTATTTATAACATTTTACCGAGAAAAAATTTCTGTAAAGATCAAAGCCAACAAAAAAAACTTGTATAAAACGAAGTAAAAGTTCACGAATGATAAAAACAAGATAATTTATATAAAACGTTTTTCAATGAAAACCTTCAATGTTGAATAACTGTACAGTTGATTTATTTTTAAATTTGTTTACTAGTTACTGACCGAATCACTTTTATTGAATCTTAAAGATAAATTTATTGATGAACTAACATTTATACTCGTATATTAAAAACAGTTAATATTTTAATAGTGAAACATCGTAATATTTTGCGGTTACAATATTACACAACTATAAAAAAAAAATGCATATTAATAATAATTAAAAAAAATTATATGAACAATTTTAATGTGAAGCATTAAATATAGATTTTTTATGAAACTAAAAAAACAAAAGTCATTCCATGACCAATAATTTGAATATTAAATATGAGCAAATTTTAATTTAAACAATTATACTTCAAAATTGTATAATAAATTGTATTTATTAATTTTGATTATTTTGACATTTTACGTTATCTCTTAATGATATATAAAGTAATACCTCTCCACCAAAATAGCTTTAAACATATAATAACACACAATATCACCCCGAGAAAAATGCTCAAAATACACTCATTAGGAAAATAATATTTAATTAATAATATAAAATATAGAGCGTAGTATTTTAATTTAATTACCCTGTAAAACAAATGTCACAAAAATTATTAATGTTTTTCAATGACTCAAGTTCTATGCCTTTATTAAAAATAAGATCTAATTAAATTATTGATAAATTACATGAAAAGTATTTTCGTAAAAAGTTATTTTACTTGGTTTCAAGAGAAAACACCTTCAGATTCAGGTTAACATGAGAAAATTTAACAGTGATCTAAAATTTATCATATTCTAATTATATATTTGTCGAAAATAGAACATTTTAGTTCATTCAACGGATCGGTATTATAATTATTGTTACTAGCCATTGTCGCAACGACAGAATAAATCTATCCTTCTTCGTTACTGAAACGCCTCTAACCCCCCCCCAATTATAATAGAAATATATGATATATTTGTCACTCGATACCATATATACTTAATAATTACATAATGACCAGAATTTTATAATATCAACAACTCTAGTTATATTTTAAAGTTCGGCATTTTTTTTCACTTTTATGGAGATACTTGTACTACAGTAATTTTTATATAAAGTATTAATAACTTATGTAGTTTTAATTTATTTATACTTTTTATTCATTTTTTTTTATTTTTTAACTTTGAACACATTCATTTTCAAAATTTTATGGAATAAAATGCAGTCACAAAACTTAAGTCATTAAACTTGTCGATTTTGTAAAAACTATCATATTTTAATAGAGACGAAACTGAGTTTTCCATTCATCATTAAAATATTACTTGTAGCACAAGGGAACTCTAAACACAAAGTTAATCTATAGTACCTCTGTTAATTTGTATTTTTCAAGATCTCAAAATATTTACTAAAGAAAAACGATCTAATAAATAGAAAATCATTTTAATTATATAAATTTATCTTCAACAAACAAAGTAGCTAATATTATTTTTTAATTATATAATGAAAACAGTAAATAATTTCTTTAAACACAAGTTAAGTTAATTAATTGAATACTGGACAAAAAAAATATAAAGTATAAAGAAATATCAATAATTTTAACGATCACGTAATATGTCCATAATTGTTTTTGAAGATATTAAAAAGTTACGGTCGCCAAGTCTTAAATTTATTTTACATTTATATTCATTATTCTGTAGTTTACGCAGATTTTTTTGATGTGCGTTAAATAACTTGAAATCTAAATAAAAAAAATTGTTAAGTTTTCAACAAATAAACTAATTATTTCATAAGTACCTAATATGATGCATTTAACTGCCAATGGTGCGTGTTTCATATAAAAAATGTCTAATCTTCGCAGTTCAGAAGATGTTACAGACACCGACTCTCCCCAATCAATTAAATTAATAATATAAAAATTACTTCCCTCCACACTATTTTCAATATCAATACAAATTCCTCTATACCAACTACCATCACCTAAATGAAAATTCATATATTAATAAGAAAATAATGGAAATTTTTTTTTTTGGTTAATAATATTCTTTTATTAAAGACGCTATTTGATTATTATGAGTTATGATGCACTCATATAAAAGAAAAAAGATACTAATAAATTATTTGAGCTGATTAATTAACTATCTATCATACATACGTATGAAGTTTACTTATCTTCATATTATTTTAATAATTAAAATTATTCATTACTATATTTAACAGCACAGAGTTCATCACGTTGCGGTTTATAATTGTGATCTTGTGTTTGTTTGTAATGTGAATTCATACTGTTTTCCATAAATCTTATGTTTTGTTCATTTTTTACTTTTGTCATGCAAATATAATCTGTTTTACAATACAGCACTCTCATGTTATATACATAATTATTCCTTAATTGAATTTGAGGAATATTAAACAGGGTATAGATTTTTAGTCCATTGTCGACCTGAGTTCTTGTCTGCTTGTTCTCTACACCGTCATTCTATTAAATTGTTATTATTATTTATTAATTATTATGGCTTTATTTATCTAAGTCCTCTCTGAAAAAACTATGCTTGATAGTAAGAGTCAAACATAAAAAACTAAAGTGTTCAGTATTAGATAAATAGAAAAAAATTGAATATATGATTTCTAATTACCGAGTATGTTTTATTAACGCANATTACCGAATATGTTTTATTAACGCACACTTCAGCATTTGACAAATCATTCGACACATCTTCTAAAATATAAATTTAAAAAAATATTTTACTTATAAAAATTTCTAATACTTCTTTTTTAAATTTAATATTAAAGTCTATTGTTTTTTTTTTATACTCAATTATAGTTGCTAATATCCAATTTAAATTTTACAAATGCAATTTTTAAATTCATTTTAACTAATTATTTTAACCTATATAATAAAAATATTTATAAAGAACAAAGTCCTAGAAATTAAGCACGTCTATTTAAATTTATTCATGACTAAACATATAATGACTTTAAAGTAATCAAAATTATAGTAAAGTTAACGATTTTTTTTACAGTTAATATTACACAAATTAAAAACAGCATAAAATTATGTATAAAAATCCAAAACAGAAATTCCTATTTTAAAAATGATGATTTATAGCAAGCTATATGAAAAAATAAATAACTGTGGTCACAACTTTAAAAGAAAAATGAAAAAATTTTTTTCTTAACATAAATCTTTAAATTACTAATTAAAATATGTTCATTCAATTTTAAAGTAATCATACCTTTTATAGATGTTTCTAAGGGCAACGAAGTACATGACTGCAAATCATGCTCTCTAAATTCATTAACTAATGTGATATTTTTATTAGAATCTTGTTCAAATTTACCTTCAGTGGTTAAATTAAACATACCTTTTAAAAGAGGCTCATTTTTAGTAGATAAGAGGCACACTGGTTCTCCAGTGTGCATATAATTTATCAATTTTGAATTTGAATTATGAGGCTCGTCCAAAGATTTTGTATTTAAAATAAGATTTTCTATTGAGACGCTAGTTTGTGTTTCACAACTTAACGAATTAAACAACGACATTTCTGTTTGTGTCTCAGACACATTATAAATAAGTTTATTATTTGTCTGAGTAAATTTGTGAGAGTTTAATAGAGACGTCTGAACTGCCATGTCTTTTACTTCTTTAATCTGAGACTCTAAAATATTTATTTCTGTAACAGATTTTATTGGAGCGACCATTTCTTCTGCCATTGTATTTGTTTGTGATGCACAATCTACTGAGATGACTAAATAAAATAAAAATCAAAATTATAATAACACGTGAGAATTAATCATAAATAGAGGAAATAAATTTAGTAAACATTCAAATGTGCATAGAATTACCTTTGGATTTTTTTCTTAAGCCAAATTTCTTCTTGGCAATTCTCATTACTCTTGTAATAATGTTAGCCATTTTATACTAAAAATGATAGATTATTGCTTTACTTAAATAATTCGCAACTGATTTTTGTGTGATATTCATCATCATTTATATACATATGGTTGCTATGAAAAAAATTTTCAAACCAAGTATAAAAAATACTGCTACTTTAATACCAAATTATTACTATAATTATTATTTGTTAAAGTTGTTATACTTTTTTTAAAAATTCACCTATTAGAAACTATTTTAATTGTTAATATTAAAAATATTACCAATTTTATTTTTCGATATACTTTGTTGAAAATGTTTTTCTAGGTAGAAAAAACATGTAAAAATTATATCAAATGTTAATTTTTTATTTTAACTTTGATACGAAGTTGTTTTAATCTGTAAAGTAGTGTAATATAATAAAAATAATTCTCCCAATTTTTATATAAATAATAAATATATTATAAAATTTTACTGAATAAGGTTTTATTTATTTTAATAAACTAAGAAAAATATCAAGTTTATATGAAAATTAATTTTTTCTTATTGTAGGGTGACTTTTATAATTAATAGTAAATCTAAATCAAGAATAAACTTAACATATATTTATTATTCGATTAACAGTTTTGATACATGAAATTTTCAATTAATATTATAGTTGTAATGTATAGGCCAATATTTCTACATTACACAAAAATTTACAATTTTTAACTTTGCAATATGGTTAATATAGTACAAACTCTAGTTACTCTTAATCTTTCTATACTCATATGGTTTAAATGTCTCTTAATATCACATAAATTAATACAACAAAATAGCTTATCAGCCAGAAAATATTTTATTTTGTACTTTCTCTAACAAATTATATAAAAATAATTATAGATTGCAATCAAACTATTAAAAGTATTGTTTTAACCATTTTATTATTTAACAGTTCATAATAATAAATAAAACTTCATGAAATATACTTTAATAAGAAATATCATTATTTAATAAAAAATAATGGAGATAGCATTCTCATTTAAATCACAATAATGAAATACTATATATTTACTGTTATTAAATAGGTTAGTATTATTAATAAATCACATTATACATTAACCATAATTCAAAATAAAGAGATCAGTATCAGCCATCAAGTGTTCAATAATTTTTACTACATATTGTAAATTATTAGTACTGACTACTATCAAAGGCTGTTATACCCCAACAAATACTTTAAAGTGTAAAAAACCTATTAAGTACTGGATACTGAATACTGTATTATAAAAAAATAACTGAAGTGTTAAAAAAAAATAATAATAATTGTGAAGTTAAAAGACAAATTAGATCAAGAATCAGTTGATTGAAATGTAGATATAAATAATTTATTGACCATTTTTTACATAACTAACAAACACAAACATTATGATAATCACAACAATAAAAATGATAAGAACAAGTAGAAAACAAGCCAAGTTATAATTTTCATCTGGCTCCAAGTTAAAACCAGTAACATTAGCTCCGAACATAAACTATACAACTAATTATTTATATATTAAAGATATATCTAAAGTACTCTTAATAACTGATATATAGTTTTATCATAAATTAACATATTATTACTTTTCAATTGAATACATTATATTGTTCAAAATCAAGCATTTTTTCTTTATTAATATATTTAAGTTACTATAATTGTCATTGATCTTTTTTTTTTGTAATTTATGAACTTTATATTTTTTTTTACAAATAATTGACAAACCTATCGTCATTTTATAATGTAGAAGTACTAACGTGACATCAAAAAAAAAAAAATGTTCGATAGATAGATAGATGGATAATTTTTATAGTAAGTTTGACTCTGGGAGAATGTTTTAAATTTTTTTATTTTTCAAAAATGTACGAAATATAATGAATTATTTTCGATAAACATTAATGAGTTCTAAATACTACAAAAATCTCATTACTCGTAGATTAATAAAATTTCTAGATACTTGTTATCTCAGATGGTGTTTATTTATACTATTTATAAAATCATATAGCTATAATAAAAGATAATACTATTTTTATTTAGATAAAAAAATTGAGATTTTCCTAATGCTGTATAAGAATTACAACAGTATTTAACGTTAATTGCATAAAAAATATTCTATAATGATATATGATTAATTTCAAATTTAAAAAATAATTTTATTTAACCAATTTTTAAAATAAAGCTGAAAGGTAAATTCTATAAGACTGTAGTGAGACCAACTATGATGTATGGCTGTGGATGTTGGGCAAAAATAGAGAATAAAGTAAAAAACGTGTGTAGCAGTTTTCATTTTAGACAATCTTGATGTTTGGAAAAGTCGCATGATACAATTTCTTAATTTATTATAAGCACTTATTAAAGAAATGATTTTTTTAAAACAATCAGTTGAATAAACATCAACTAAATTATTTCAATTTAAAATAAGTAAACTAGAAATAACACAATTAAACTGACTTATATATAAATGTAATCATTACAAATACCATTGTAAGGTCATTGAATTTTATAATATATTCATTTATTTTTTGGTAATTTTTAGTTAAATAAATGCAAACATATACTGGTCCAAATCGTCTGACCTTTTTCTAATTTGTTCATTATTCCGGTTTGTCGTTTTGGCATTTATTTATGGAAAATCGAGATCAAGCTGCTTAATACATTTATACATTTGCTCTTAATTTATTACTAACTATCACATTACCATACATTATAGCCAGACGATTTTAATGGCTTATATTAAATTATTACGTTTTTCTAAAATACTTTTAAAAACTAAAAGCACCAATTTATTTTCATGTCATTTAAGATCTCAAAACTTGATTAAATAAAATTAACAGCGTATTTACAACGAATTCAATTACACTTTGGTGTGATAAAACTATTATTTTTTAATGTGATAATAATACATTTAAATAACATCAATGTTAATAAAATATTCTGATGACTAATGTACCGACTACAGTGTAAGTATAAATCAATATTTTTTTATTTCAACTGAATTTAACATTATGTATAAACTTCGGTAAATCAAATCTACGTTTAGGTTACTCTATTTTTCTGTACAACTTAGAACCGTAAAAACCATAAATAATAAAACACCAACAATTGTAACTCATTTAGCGATTTTGTTTAAATGAAAGATTATTCATATATATTAAAATTCTGTTTCTGATTATACTTTTGTAGTGTAGTATATGCAGACAATTTATGTAAAAAAAAAAACCAGTACGGTATAACAGGCCGTAAAAAATTCAAAGAAATTAGCAATATCTATGTTTTATTGGTGATCTATGCGACTACCTACACCTGGTAAATGATTAATTTAGATCACAAATAATATTTTTGGCTTTTGATACCATTATTGGTAGTTTTAAGTTTCACATGAATTAATACTATCTTTAGATTTAGATGTTATGTAAGGAGTAATGGGGTTAGTTGTCAAAGGCCCAAGTTTTTACAATTGAGATATTTAAATTTTAATTACACTATACTAATAAAAATTTCATAGGCAAATATTATCTATTCTTACAAATATCAAAATTTAATCGCATTTTTATGTTTTTTTGTGTCAAAGTAAAATTTCTGAGACATTTTCCTTTCAACTTTTTAGCAAACAATTAAATTTGATTTTATTTTTACATTTTGAAATCATAAAATTAATTACACGGTTTTGTGTGATTAAACAATTCTACATGAGGCTAGTTGTTACAGCAACATGAGAGTAAGAAGTTACAATATATTTATTACCCCCGAAAAATTATTATTTTTAGTACATTTGATAAAATTAGAATATTTAGTCCAGAAAATTAACGAACTCGAAGTACAAAGTTTATAAATAAATATAAAAATACCTCCATGTATTTTTAAGGACAAAATATTATTACTTTCCTTTGTTATTTTTAGTATAATATATTAGTAAAAAGTATCTGTAACAACTTATCTGACAACGAGTTAAGTTGTTACATTTTGACCAACTCCAGAAAAACATTTTTTTTAAGAATAAAAATATAAATTTATTGAATACATTTTTTTTTTTATGAAAGATTATAGCTTATAGATTAAAATAAACTCATTAAAATTTTGGTAACTGATGAGAAAAAAACAATATTACACTATTACACTCAAATAAACAAAAGTAAATATATTCTACACAGTAATCTGAACTTTGTCAAAATTCAACGCTACTTTAAAAATATAAATATAATTTAACTAGTAATTCTTCTTATGGTTTTCATTCTTTGGATAGTAACTAAACTCTAATTTTACAGTAATAAGATACTTGACAGCGTCTTAAAATGATTATGTTTATTGAATGTGGTTAAAAAACTAAACGAATTTTATGTNGGTTTTCATTCTTTGGATAGTAACTAAACTCTAATTTTACAGTAATAAGATACTTGACAGCGTCTTAAAATGATTATGTTTATCGAATGTGGTTAAAAAACTAAACGAATTTTATGTAAAAATTACTTATTATGAATTTGAAAATATGTAAAAAACAATATTATATATGCGCAGTACCGGTGGCATTACAATGATCGATACTAGTGTTTACACTAAACTTATACAGCTATTTTATGGACGCCCGCTGCTTATTCAGTTCCTGTACCATTGTTGGACGGGGGAGGATCATATTTAAATTCATTTAAAACAAAAACGGTGGCATCTATCTCTGGTTTTGTAATTTACCTCGCTGGATGGACTTTTACAAGTGTATAGACACGATGACCAAAAACAAAATACGAAAATCATAATAACACTATTCACTAATAATACCTATAACAAAGCTCGCGTGGGCGGTAAAATGGTCAGCGGGTAATGGACATGACAACAGAAAACGTATCTACAAAAAGAGTAAATACAATATTGTAATATATTAATGGGTGCAGGCGTATAAGTGGTCTTCAATAATAAACAAATATTGAAAAGGAATATTGATGAGTCTTAACAGGCGTGTTATTTAAAATGCTTTGTAAACTGTTTAACTTGAAACGAGTGCGTGCGTTCAATTTGCCAATAACATATGAGTCTCATTTATAAACCACACAAATTGGGCGTACAGATTGTATGAGGCAGACTGTACGGGTCGTAATGTTATAGACGTTCAGAGAATAAACTTTGTTGCATATCACTTATTTACTGCCGTTGTTAAAATATTCGCACAAGCAAAAAAAATACCGAGCGCTTAGCTGGGAGGTTACGATGCAAAGAGTCATCTTGTTGTGGTCTGCGCTGTGGAATTAATGTATGTAATTTCAATTTTAATCTGCCTACCAAAACGCAACCTGTAATCTTTTATTTTATTTCGCTTTTAGGTAACACAATCATTATTACACTGTGTATTCGTACCAACGCGCATATAAGTACTGGATTTCGCCTCGAAAAACCATAAGGTATAACCCTTAACATTGTAGTGTTCGTGACAAATTATCTATTTGTTCTACAGTGCCTCTGTATGAGAGAAACTCACTATTTCCATTATATTACAAAAAAACTACTAAATAATACTCAAAATGTAATCTTGAGTATAACTAATCTCTGCGTAGATCACACAAATGTTATTGAACTTGTAGAAATTTGTAGAAAAATAAAAACGTTCAATTTTCAAAACGACCCAAAATCATCAACGAAGCTCTAGACGCTAATCGACATTTGCTATAACATTATTATTATTATTGCGCTCTCTAAACAATTTTTTTTTGCGATTGAAAAAACTCATCCAATGTAATGACACCAAGTAAATCATATTATATTATTGACACGATAATTTGATGATTTTTTCCTAAAAAGTTTAAAGCAAAATATGATTATGTTCTTATTAAAAAAAAAATTCCTATGTTTATCCAAAATAAATAGTAGTCTAAATGAAGTTGAATTCTTCCAAAATCAATGGTTCAAGATATTAGAACATCATGAATCTCCTGGAAAAAAACGCAGACTGTAAAATCACTATCTGAGCAGAAATCTTAATAATTCAATCGAACAAAAAACGTCGATTCTAATTACACGTTTTTATTTCAAACTATGTCTAGACTAATAAGATTCAAAGAGTAATTATGAAAACGTAAACTGATTTATCCTAAGATAATTTGGTACGTGATTGATTTTAATAGTAAACCGTTAAAAACCGCAAACGTCAATTAAAATTACGCAAGGCGCATAATAACAGAAGATGTGTGCGGTATCCCGTGATATACTTGTGGGAGGACTGTAATCCTAATTTCGAACGTGGGCTCCGGATATAACCTTTTCTAGGATTATTGTTGTAGAGGTCTTCTCCATAATAATAATTGTTATTCATCTTATTAGTTTTTGTTTTGTGGCGGAGAGTAGAGGCACTAAAACGTTTGCAGTACCCTCCTATACCTACACAAAATATATAAAACGACGATGTCCGACTTATAAACGGTACATTTTCTATGGTAACAGATTATTATTTATTTTCAAACATATTTTGAGTATCGATAACGCATAGATATTCCAGGCCGCTCGTTTATACTCAAGTGTTATTCTATTACACTGCACCCACACATGTTTGGTAACACCTCATAACAGCTAGCTTTGACGCCTTCAGCGTTGTAATGTAAGCACCACAGGTTTGAATTTTTGGCAGTGTTGTTCAAATTATGTTGCCGAATTATTTAATCCAGTATTTAAATTAGATCACCCATAATTTTGTTATAATAAGATTCCTAGACTATCATCTGGGCGTTGGTGTGGCTCTAGTCATTGGCGGTTGGAAGTACTCTGAAGTCAGAAGACTTCAGTAGCTTTCTCGCAAACAATTGCATTACTGTTAAAATATAAATATATAAACTAAAAAAACTCTAACAAATCATGAATTGATCATTAATATTTTAGTATTCACACGGAGGATAATGTATGTTATATTAATTAACGCAAAACAATTTGGTACTTTCTTGAATTCTATGTCTATTTTATCTGCATCATTACATAGTATGTGATGAACAATATTACTACAAATCGTTCTATTATTATTATTTTCATTAATAGCAACAGCTAGTAGAGAGTAGTGGATACGAAATCAAAATGCCAAAGGCCAATACCGCGATATTCGATACGTGATTATCATCCGTGTACCTTTCTCTGGTTCATAGTAAACGTGTGATATACATGGCTTGGACACACGGCTGTACTACTCAAGTATAAATTACTTGATAATATATTGAGCTTGGCCAATATGTAGGCAGACGTATTTGCTACGCGCGTTACGGTCTCGATAGCTTTTTCAGGCGATTCGGACGTACTCGGATATTTCCCACGAGTATTTTCCCATGAGAGCACAACGCCTACGCGGTAAATTTAAAATACCTCAGCGAAGACAAAATTATATTTTCGTTTCATCGCTATTAATTATTTTAACTGAAAGAAAACCTATTTTCTGGCTCCTTTTTCACCTGCGACAATTCACATTGTTAAACAATTTATACTCAGTACAAAGTTTCTAGCAAAATATTGAACCGATTACCCCAAAAAATATCGATATTTAATTTTTAATGATATCTTTGATTGATGACTTCATATGTGTAAAAATATTTAATCCCAAAATTGTTTGCATAATCCACTGAGTGATTTTTTACTATTTATTGAAAACCAAACGTCTTAAACATATTATTTACTTTTGAAATGCTTTAAGATTTCTACTAGAAAATATAGTAATTTTAAAAATACACGTATTAAATTATAAATTTCAATTAAAACGAAATTGGTTTAACAAATTGGTAACTTGATTAATATTCTATTGATTAAGATTATATTATTCCGGTAAACATTCACTTCTTCATAAAAAAACATATTGGGCGTATGATATAAATGCTAACTTTACTAAAAAGAAAAACTAAATTAAAATCTAAAATATCTTTGCACAGAAATGTATCCAATTTAACTATCACAGCAAGATGCGCAACGAAATAAATAAAGATCTATAATGATTTCATAAACCGGTCGTATCAAATGTCATAAAAACATTTATTTTTAAAATAGGCCTGTTAACCATTTAAAATATGTATTCAACTGTCCATACAATTTTTTATGAAATATATTTAAAAACTGCTTCTTCAAATAATAAATGTATTAAAACGTGTTTAAAAATTTAAAAGAGAAACAATATTTTTTATTTAAATAACATAGTACCTATGGTTTTTAATTTATATCTGATGTTTATTAGTAAGTATTTATTATATGGTTTATAGTGCTAAATAATTTGAAACACCTCCATGATTAAATCAATAAAATTATATATTATCTTGTTTATTATTTAGTAATATTAAAGTATTACATTATTTTATCTGGAAGATTACATTTATCAATTTTGGTAATTTGTTTAATGTAACATCAGAATATTCATTATGTGTGCAGTGAATCAGCATTTTTTTATTACAAATTTACTTTTAAACGAAAGGTTTTTTAATCAAGCTAAAATATTATATTTAATCTTTAAATATAACCCATTATATTAGTAGTGTTTTTGAAGTCGTTCCCCTATAAATTGTGTAATTTTGAAGTGTTTTGATTCTACAAAATAATTATAAGAAATATAAATCCATCCCAAAGAATTCAAAATACTTTACGATTACTTTGCAGCTTAGTATAAATAATTTAAAATGACAACATCTTCTAAATCTTGTTATCTAAAATTTTCTTTAGGTTTTAATTTTTCTCGATCAATTTTATGTGAATGATAACATAATTGTTTTATAGTACAATATAAATACTTTATAAGAACTATATAAATTATTGATATTGTGAGATTAACAATATATAGAATATAAAACTATTGCAATTTTAATTATTTTACAATACCTAATATTGATTCTGCGTGTATTACAATTTTTATTTTACAGGTAATTAGTATTAAGTACTATGTACTTACTGTACCAGAACGGTTGCCAAAATCGATATGATGAAATGGACCTTCGAAAATCAAAACTTACAAATTAAAATATTAGACTATTTTCTATGTAGTTCGAACTGTAAAATCCTATTTAAATGTATACTCACTAACCGTTACACCAGTGCCATTAGTAACCTTCATACTCGATTTAATAAAACAAATTTAGCAAGGAATTATTGTCGGTTTAGCAATAATACTCATGTTGTTGATAATTATTGTTTCGTAAGCGCAAACAATTGACTGTGTCTTATACACAATGCATTCTAGATGTTCAGAGACAGAAATGTCCCAATCATCAGGGCATAGTTTTTGTTTTATGAATAGGTATCCCGTACCTAAATGAAAGTAGTTGTGTTATGCATCAATTGACATTTTTATCATATGTATTATCGTTCAATTTTAACACTAGAATACATTTTACACTTGCATTAAAGTCTCTTGATTTATTTTAGTTCAATTGGCATAGGCATTGAGAATTTTTTCTTGTTACAAATAAACATCAGTTATGATTTGTATTTAAATAATTGTTGACCATTTTAACTGTGTTATTTACAACTATACGTGTAGCCCGTACATATAAACTTGTGTCATTTTTAATGATGCATTATCATGATGATCTTACATGAACGTGTACCGGAAAATCGCATAGCACAGTATTCTACGCGTACAACAATGCCATTATGCACGACCAACCTCATAATATACATCCGTCAGTTAACAAAATGGGCACTCTGCAAAAATTAACCTCAGACTTAAAGCTGCACAACGCGTACCTACACAATTTATACGCGTATGAACCTTTTAAACATGGTGGTGGCTTGAAGAACATACCCTTGACATAGATGTTGTGTTATAGAATGAGCGAAACATATAAGTTAATAGAATATTTAAGTAAAAATACTTTTGACTTTTTAAATTTTGACATATATAATCAGCAATATGTGCAATTTAAAATGATTAGTTGAAACAATACAAAATTGCATACTCGACTGATTGAGTGCGAGTATCAAGCTGTGTACGTATTTACTTAGTATATACATGTATATACATAAAATATGTTTTTTTTTTTTTTTAACGAGTTTCAATAACTTATGAACTGGTTTAAAAGAAAAGACGGCAAAACTAGATCATTCGCAAAGTCGGCGCACACAGACATGTGCAATTTGTTGATGGAGACAAATAGTCCAGTGCGCTATAAACGTGAATTGAGTGCGCCGGTATTAAAAAAGAAAAAAAAATGAGCTAAAAAAAAAAAAATACGCAGTATAAATCAATCTCGGTCGGTGAATGGTCTCAACGGTAATATCCCTCTGATGTAAAAACTGGATCGGGTTAGACCAATCGATACATATACAATAATATAACAATGTAATGTGTGAGCGTGTTGTTTCCATGGCTCTTCTTCTTCTTCATATTTGTCGTTTTGCTTGGACGATGTACATAACGCGTATGTACATTTAACGTGATTGCAATAACCTATGAGCGAGTGAGCAAGCCGAAGGTAAATAATATTAGAACAACTGCCGGCGCAAATGTCGCAACAAATTCCAGTGCACTCATCAGATACGGGTCACTCGTCTTACTTTTTATCTGTTCCTCTAGTTCGAGCACTTCGGAGATCATCCGTAGAATATCCGAACAATATCAATTTGTTTGAGATCATGTCGTTTTATATCGAACAAAACTGGTTGCCGCTATGCACGTCCATGTCGCTAAACGGTTTTTCTTTTACACGTTTAATTCGCAAACGCACACACTCCTGTTCTAAGAACCCAATGATGTAATAAACTGGTAGTTTATTTATTAGTTTTTATCTTAGACCTTTTTTTTTATTTATTTTTTCGACTATCGTCATCGCATTTAAATTTTGCTTGGTCCATTGACGTCATTGATCAATCTAGCTGAGTGAAAATAAGTTTTTACTTGTATCCAGTTGAAATAACACCTGAAATACTTTAAATATTAATGTAGGAATTTAAATATTTAAATTTCAACAAGAATTCGTTGTATCAAAAATTAGAAATCGTTTATACTAATTTCATCTCTTGTTTTATTATTATGTTATCAACCGCGATTTAATGTTATTCGAGACTGATTTGTAAAATGCCGTCAAATATCTATTCAAGTAAAAATTAACTTCATAAATGCTTACTGTTTTCACATAGGGAAAGTTCGTAGTATATAGTGGCGAGCTGGTAGCGTTGGCGAAATCTGTATACAAATGCGTGCAGGATTACACCGTTGCATATTGTCATATTTATGGTCCTAAATTACATTCAGTTACCTTGGTACTTAAAACTCATTGTTTTCTTTGTGTCTACTTGAGGGACGAAGCAAGTTAATTAGACATCAGTTTCTGTAATCATGTCGTGTTTTTCAAAGGTATAACAATATATTCATGCGTTTTCTTTTCTGTGATGACTTTTTAACAGAAAATTTTGACACATGTCAAAACTCAACTTGGCTATTTAGCAGTCAGTAAAACACTCGAGAGCGGAACACTAATTTAACACTTCTTTAATACACGTTTTGAAACAAAAAATAATACCTAATTATTTACATAATATTAGTTAAATTTTGTGAATGATCTTTTGTTGTATTTACATTAAGTTTAACCGTTTCATTATTCATTTGTGAGTTTATTTTTGTAACTACTTCATTATTATCGAGTAAATTTTTTTTTTCATTTAAATAATTATCATATTACAAAAATTATTCTATTACAGACAATTTTATTAATATCAATAAGTTATTAACTAGGATGATTTATATATACAAATAGTTTGTGTTTGTCAATATTGTTTTCGTTTATGTTAGTTTTCTTTTTACTGAAACCTATTTATGAGAATCAAGTCACCTCCTATTCTATGTGTTTATAGTTGAAATTCATAGTTGGTCCTTCACAAGTTGCGTAAGATCAAAATTTCAATTATACAATTAATATTAAATTAAACAACACAGTCATATTTTCCGAATGCATTTCGCCACAAAAACTCAAGTAGCTGTACACAAAATAGTCCAAATTCTCGTATTTTAGCTCAAGTATGCACAACATACATAAATCGAACAAGACAAAATGTAATTTTTTTTAAAATAGCACAAATAAATTTATCTTTACTCAACTAAAATTACAAAACTAAACAATTACAATAAAATGTATTATATATTTGATGAAAAACTAAACTGACAGTCCGATTTGACAAGTAAGGTGTTCTTAAATGGCAGTAAGATGCAAGATTAAATGAAATGTCTAAATGTACCCTTGTTTGAGTTCAGCTGGATTAATAGTTTCTTTTTTTGATCCGTGTTATGTTTAATGAAAATCTGAAAAAACTATTTAATAATTATTAAAATAAAAAGATGAATTAACATACTGATAGAAAAAAAAATAAAAATTTAAGTATAAAACTATCTTGGGTTTTTGACATACAGCCCAGATTCACCTTAATAGTTCTATAAAATCTATATAATTATATCATTTTATTCAATAAAACTAGATACATAATAGACCATCTAAAGTAGAAAATAATCAAATAACGCTGAAATTAAAAATAACAAAAATAACGAATAAACAGTTTATTTAAAAGAAGCTATTGTTGAATCTAACACAATGCAAAAATAATAATGTATTATTATTATTATTATTGATAACCAATTAAGTTTTAAATAATTTTAAGAAAATGTCCATTCTGTTGTTTCGAAACACCAAATAATGTTTTTCAATGTTTTGTTTTAAGTTTTATTATATAACTTCACTGATTTAAGACTAAATGAAATAGTTTTTTATAAAAATTGGTACCACACCAAATTTTTCAAAATTGAATGGTAAATTGTCCTCCGTCATTGCGTAAGAAAAAACAATGAAAAGATTGATTTTAATAAATAACTATTGAAGTTTACTAATTTGCATTTATAATTTATAATATATAGGAAGTACGAGTTCTACTGCACGTGAGGGAAAAGGGATTTTTCACATAATTTTTTAGTACAGCTATATTGAATCACTTTAAAATTGCTGTAAAATTCCTTATCGCTACATAATCTCTTACTTGAAACGAGCTAAAATTAAGCACACGAGTTTTGAACGCGTGGATAGTGTTTTGCGTCAGTAATGTTCATTGACAAATTTAATACTGATACTAAAACTCGATACCGAAATGGTAACCCTAATTGAAAAACAAAATAAAAAACTATTTTCCGTCGTTTTACACGATGGCAATCGACACATTAAAATTGTATCGGTGCTGAAAATAATAGGAGCGGTGTAGTTCTTTCTGAATTTGTGGTCGGGTGACGGTAAAGACGACGGATTCTCGAGAAGGAATAAAATTTCGATTTCTCTTACACGTTTTACACGTGGACGTATATTTTGTACACACGTGACAGATTTATCGATGATAAACGTGATGTACAGTCGAGATGCGCAAGATTCCCGAAGCGCTTGCGTTTAATAATATACCGTCATGTCGCTCGTACAGGTACACAGCGATCACCTTTGGGTTCATCCGGCGACGCATGTGCGCTATTGGCCGGCGCGAACGTGACACTGCCCGTAGAAAGTATGACACTTTTCCGATATTATTCCCTGGAGCCGACCGATCCGCCCGGACGATAATTAAAACTGGTGACGCGCAGCGCGTAACCTCTTTCACCTCGACGGCCGACCGCTGCGGGGCCCACAACGTCCCGCGCACGATTGTTGCCCGTGTCCACTTGAAATTTTAATGCGCGTATGTGCTTAGCCGGAGGCCGGCAGACGCGATGCAAGTAAACACACACACGCCCAGACAATACTGCAATGCGCTCATATATGTATAGATTTCTAAATCGCACTGGATGCTGCGTGTATTGACTTTTTTTTACTTATTTTTACAAACTCGGACGTGTACGCGCAGAATACAAAATAGAATACGGCACGGGATGACGAAAGAGATAAACGTTGCAGCGACACCGAGATGCGTCGACTTTCGGCTTTCTCTCTCGAAAAAAACCGACAAATAATTTAATAATACGCATTGGCGCATCACTTTCCATTATACGCCTA